CCACCCTCCACTCCAAAAAAAAAGGCAGAGGGGAGAGAGGAATGTTGCTATGGAAACAGTTCGGACAAATGTAATTGTCTCCCTCCATCTTTGCAGGTCAAGGCAGCGGCATTTCAGCTCCATAATCTCTCTGTCTCCTCTGTATCTACCCACCGGCCTGCCAGTGTATAATAGGTTTCCTGGAGTCAGGAGTTACAAATATGCTCTGTGATATATAGAATTATTTCATAACCTGGTGTGTGTGTGTGTGTGTGTGTGTGTGTGTGTGTGTGTGTGTGTGTGTGTGTGTGTGTATGCTTGTATCTTATTTTGCTCTAAAATAGGACGCTGCATCCAGACAACAGAAGAGAAAAATGACAACCAGACAGAAAAATTCAAAACAAACTGAAACTGTTCCTTATTTTCAGGCTCTTTCTACAGTTTAGAAAAAAGAAACTGCTTTTATCTCACTTCTATCATTAATTCAACACCAGCACAATCCAAAATACATTCAAGACCCTCTTGACATTTAGTCAAAGAGAAATTAACCCAGCTGCAACTGTGTAATACTTCCATTTATCTACCTCTTAAAGTTGGATGTATCATGCATTTTCAGGAGCCATTTGAAAAAGAGGAAATATATGATGTCTACAAATATATATATATATATATATATATATATATATGTAAGAAGACGGTGAGTCAAAGAAAAAGAATTGACAAAAAGGGCCTTGAATTGAATGTTCCATAGTTATCATTAAGTCATGATTTGGCGTCTGTATGAGGTCAGATGTGGGTCACCAACATTTTTGAGATTTTCAGGTGGACCATGAGTTGGAAAAGGTCGGGAACCAGTGATTTAAGAATAAAAAAATAATGATCTCCACATACGTAGACTACTACAGGACTCGTTCTTGGATTGCTGAAAGTTTACATTTCTGTTTTTTATTCTTTATGTTTTTGTCTGAGTTTGTTTGCGATACATTACCGAGAGAAAAACGCAGCTTCACTCAAGGACTCCTTTAACTTTAATATGAATATAATAATAAAGGTCACCATCTACCTGTTCTCTACGCCACTTCTTTCCTTGTGCAGTTCTGATGAATAAAATATAGATAAGAAAGGAGAAAAATATATAGTAGATACAACAGTGAAACCATCAGAGGAAGTGTTTCAGAAGTGCTACCTCAGATTTCACATTGGGATTATATTTACAGTAGATCTTAATGTTTCCTCTTCGTTTTTAAATGAGCCCTAACAAGGTTGAGACCGTCAATGAAACTTAATGGGGTTTTAAGTGATTTAACACACCCAGGCTCTTTTGAAAATGTAATATTTACATTAAAATATCCATGTCTCTGTGTGAATGTATCAGGAGAACATAACTCAATGTTTCTGTGAAGCACCGACGCAGGGGTGCTGTGAGCAGTAATTCTGTGAATAAATGTAACTTTATGCATGAAGAACTCAGATAAGACAAATCCATTATGAAGTTAAAAAAAAAAAAAGTGAGATAATGGGCTTCAATTATGAGGATGTTCTCTCTGCTTGTTGACTCACTCTGCTGTGATCATTTCAAAGAAAACAACAATGAAGATAATAACCAGATACATCACATCTCACTTCTTTTTCTTTAAACACAAAAGAGCAGAGGGAAACAAAATGTAAATTTCAAAAGATCAATGTTTCATCAACCACGACCAGAGCTGGATGCATAAGAATAATCTATAATAAATGAAATGTGCTTCAGATCACAGCCGCCTCTTCTGGAGCTGCGGAGATGACACAGACAGACAACGCAAAGATAAATTCTCTGAATATTCTTTATTTCTTCTCCGATAACTTTGATGCTGATTGCATCGCAGAGAATTATGACAAACACGCAGAGTCAAACTGTGTTGTGCTTCTGCATTTTAATGTGATAATTAATGTGAAGGCAGTGAGGAAGAGGAGTCCTGTGAACTTTAGATCGAAAACTGCAAGAGGAAGTGATTTATGATAGAACATCCTGATTCACACAGGCTGCTTTCGTCCCACTCCTCTTTGGGGTTTTTCCAACACTAAACAGAATTAACTCACTGTAAAAATGTCAATGCCTGTGTGTTGACATTTGAAACGGCTGAGACAATGAGGCGACCACAACAGTGTGATGATCAAAAAAATAAGTCGGCCACAAACTTGATTTAATCAGTTGCGAGACATGACGAGAGAGACGCTTCTCTTTGAGGCAGTGCAAATGGAAAATATCGCAGCTGTTAGTAATGAGTTAATCAATATGTCAGCCGGATTTATTAAACGTTAGCAGCCACTTATGCATGTATCCAGTTGACTGTTCAACTAATTCCTGGTTCTGTATCCCTGCTTTTCTCTGCCTCTTACAGATGATAATAAACTGTTGAACACTGAGGGAAACAAATGATTTTTACACCTTTCTGATTATCACAAAATATCAGCTGTTGGAAGCTCGACTGAAATCATTTGTCAAGCGATTTTCAGCAAAACAGCTAACAATTATTTCCCATCATCATTTAAACTGATTTTTTTTTTTTTTTTTTTTTTTTAAACCAAATCGATGAATGAACAAATAAAACAGCTGCATGTTTTTGCCTTGATAATTGGCTTCCGTGTGGACCACAGGTTGATCTTTAGTGCGTCTGCATCGCCTCAAATTGTTGACAGCGTGATGTAACAGCAGAGCGACAGGATGAATGAACTTCTGCTTCAGTGTGAGTCTGAGTCTTTGAAGCTGCATTGTTGAATCAGAGAAGAATCGAGAAAAAAACATTTTCCACGTCACACAGGTCTCGTCTTCTTTCTGCTCCCCACATTTTGTGAGCCAATTTTACCTCGTCTGTAATTCCAGAGTATCGCTCTGTCAGCAGCTGCAGCAGATAAAAACGTGCGACAACGTGACCGACGAGTGATGTGGTGGAGACACACACATTTTATCTTAGTAAACCCGAGAAGACATAAACAGGCATTTAAATATCTTTAGAGCTCAAAATCTGAGACAAAGAGGAAATACTCTGGTGGATGAACCTGCAAATAAAATCCATTTTTTAAGACGTACAAAACAAATGACGAGAGACCAACAGAGAAAAATTAAAACCCAACTTTTTTCTTTTTACATTTGTGTAACCACTGTTCTTTAAAATCTGCATTATGATATTGTTATGTCCTATATAAATGATATGGTATTACTGCAGTGAGGTCTGGCTATTTTCACACGCAGTCTTTCAGCTGGTGACACTGCATTTATTAAATCCATTAAAACACATGCAAAGTTAATCCACTGAACTGAAGAGAGACTGAACCCAGACCAGTTTCTCCTCAACTTTCTGACACAGTCTTTGCAGCTGCTTAACCAATCACCACAGCTCATCGTCCTGCTGAGAGACAGTGAAGTAGCAGGTAGTAAATCGTCTCCAGGCCTCAGTGAAGCCAAACATGGAGGAAATCTGATATGATAATGTCATTAAGGAGTTAAAAAATATACATCTTTAAAGATTTTTTTTTAGGTTTTTTCCTGTTTTATTGCTCAAGAATCAGGTTTTCCACTTTTACTATCACTCCAAAAACTGCAGGTCCAACAGTCACCTTTTTACATGACAACAGCCCAGACAAACTTTTTTTTTTTTTTTGCTTTAACACTGTCATTATCTGAATTGCTCTGAGTCACAACTATTACAGAGATTATAAAAGCAGGACAGAAGGTAAACTGCTGAAAAACGCAATTTTAGAAACTTTTTTTTTTTACAGTGGCCCTGAAGCTCAACGCACTGCAACTAAAGAATACACATTTCAAAACATCAATTCAAAACACACATGCTGCAAATACTCACCAAAACACCAGTGTTTCCAGGAGACAATGAAAAGTGAAATATTTTCTGAATGTTTGTGTTTTGACTGTTTGCATGTGGCTTCTTCAGTTGCAGTGTGTTGAGCTTCAGGGCCACCGTAGTTTTTGTCCTGGTGAAAAGAAAAGGTGCTTATGAGAAGAATTTGGATCTTTTCAACACTTTTCTTCTTCTACTCAAACGGCGACCTGAGCAAAGATAACGTGTTCGTCTACTGTTCAGTTCATTTCATCCAGGACAAAAACATCCTCAGAGTTCAGTAGTGTGAAGAGACGTTCAAATGATCCGTCACATAAAGACTTGACATCCTGTCCTGAATCTGTTCATCCTGTTACATCAGCAGAAGATATTTCGTGACATTTCTCCCCGACCAGCTGTAGTCTGCACTCGCACATCTTACAACACACCTCCAAGCCTCCAAACTCCAGCAGCTGCTTCTGCTGCAGAAGCGCCTTCAAACATTTGATTATTGTCCCAAGAGCTTCCCTCATCAGCAGCAACAACACAAGTCTGCTGACACATTTCCTGCTGTTTAATTAATCTTTAAACATCACACACTCGCTCCCAGACAGCTGCTGCTGCACTCGAACATTTCATCGACTTTTATTATAGCTGAGGTGGAAACCACCGTCTCAGCACTGTTTTCTTACGGGGGTAGGGTAGGGGGTGGAAGGTCCAATTCTGCTCAAAAAAAAGAAAAAAAAAAAATGGAGCTGTTTGGTAAAATAATGAAGGTGGCTGCACTGAGACGTCTGAGGAAGTTTAATGGGCTTGTAGAGACTGTTGCTGTGGCAGCCTGATCTCAAACATTAATCCTCCTAAACGCTGCCTCTGGTCAACATCAGCCACGGTGGGAGTGAACTCAGAAACATTTCATCATGCCCCACCCCCCACCCTGATCGCACCTCTCCAGGCACCAAAAGCCATAATGAAATCTGACCCAAGATGTTTCACTGCAGTTTCACCTCCTCGTTCAAATCCTGACTCTGAGTGAACGAGAGGTTGGTGAAACAGTTGTGGCTGTTAGGGCACAAATCCTCAAACCTGGGAACATCATTTAAAGGAAAGTCTTTTTCCCACCCTCGCCAGCTGCTGCTGAAGGAAGAGAAAAGCACTAGATGCTTGAGAGGAGCAGCAGCATCAGAGGAAGTCGTCTCCTGTCGTCTGTGAAAAGTCTGATGATTTCCTCGTGTCTGAAGGAAATAAACATTAAGGGGAAACTTTAACGTCCAATTTATTTGATGGTCACAAACTGTCTCTCTGCTCTCAGCAACAGCCACAGTGGAAGTCGGCATTCGGATCCACCAGCAGCTTCTTGCGGTCACCATGGAGACAGTCTATGTGATACCAGGCGTCGCACACGTCGCACTGGATCCACTGAACCGTGTCCTGCTGGGGCAGCCGACACCGGGGGGCCGCGCACGGCTCCACCGCCCCGACCGCCACCATCTCCTCCTCCTCATCCTCCTCGTCTTCTTCGTCTTCGTCATCGTCCTCGTCCTCAGAGGAGGAGGAGGAGGAGCCGGAGGAGGAGGAGGCCGAGGAGGTGGAAGAGGAGGATGAGGAGGATGGAGAGGGCAGGGACGGCCGGGGAGGGAGGGGGTGTTTCCTGGGGCGGCCTCGTCGCTTACTGAGAGAAGACAGAAGAAAATAATGAAACATAAAGATGAGCAGGAAGATCAAGTGAAGAAAAAGAAGAGAAAAGATATTTGCATAATGATTTAACAAGATTATATTTAAAGATAACCTTTAATATTTCAAAAAAATATTTTGGTCCTATACAGAAGGATTATTAAATATTAGAAAAGTAAGAATTGGACAGCTTACTGTGTCCTTATCTCTTGTTATATCAGACATTAGTTCAATTATTTATATTGATATCTTTTCAGGAAATGTGCAAAAAAGTAATGCTACATAGTTACACTGCAAGGTGGCAACAATTTATCTGATAATTTGCATCTGTGTGTTGCATCTATTACGGATACGGAGTATCAGGGCCACAATGAGGAAAACAAAAATCTGAAATTACAAGAATAAAGTTGTAATTATGAGAATCATAATATTTCAAGGAAGAAAGTCATAATATTATGAGAATTGAGAGTTTTAATTTTATGTTCGGTGTTGTTTTTGAGGGGAAATATCAGAAGCTTTAAAATGAGGAAATATGAAGCATCCTGTGAAGTTCTACTTCAGCAGAGGTTTCACTACTGAGGAGATACTTCTACATCTTATGGCTCATCAGCATCATCGTCATCATCATCAGCAGCATCAGCATCATCATCATGACATTGAAAAGATTGAGAAGAAAGAGTCTGTTCTATTGTTAGACAAACAGCAGCTGCCAGAAGCAGCTCAGGCTGCCACTGACTGTCCTTTCACCTGTTTGATGTAATTTTCCTAAAAAATATGTTTTTTTTAACCAAAATTTAGCATTTTTAATTCTTGTTTTCTTGTGATGTGACTTTTTTTCTTGTAATTTTGTGACCATTTCTTTTTTTCCCTCATTGTGGCCCTAACACTTGTCGTCATATATTTGAGACTTTACTACCATTGCAAAAAAACGTTCTCAAACCTCAAAGCCCATGTTTTTATTTTGGTGGGTCATAGTGAGAGAAAAACTCCATCCAGATGATTTTGGAGATGCAATAGTCTCATAAAAACTATATAAATAAATAGGGGAGTTGGTTGGTGTCCCAGAGACATATTTCTGCAAACCTCCAACATCTCACCTTGTTTGATGGTGAAACCTGTTGAACTGGACCCTCCCTCTCTCCTCTGTGCGGATCCTCATTGAAGGCGAGGCCAGGCTGTAGTTCTCCCCTCCCACCACCAGAGGGGAGAACACCGGAGAGCTGTGAGCCCTCCGCCTGCCCCTCTGCGCCATCGGAGAACAATGGGCGGGTTTCTGTTGGCGGAAAGCGGCGATGTTTCCCTGCACCACCGTCTTGATGCGGTGCATCGTCTCCACCTCTTGTTTGTGAACGGTGGCGTTGGTGAACGACGCCTGGAGGAGGTGGTGGTTGAGTCTGCTGTTGGTCATGGCGCCATGGAAGCTGCCGATGGTCCTGATGCCAACGGGGAAGGGCTTGGCCTCCAGTGGCCGCCTCATGTCGTTGTGGGTCTTGGGCTGCAGCGGCATGGGAGGAGGAGAACAGAAACTCTCTGACTCAGACTTGTAGAGCCGCCGCCTCTTCTTCCCTCTCGCTCTCTGTCCGTCGTCAGGAACTCCTGCCAGAACTGAACCACAGTGAAATGAGGATGTTGTAAAGGAGCAGTGATCAAACCTTGACTCCATTTCCCTGTGACATTAACATTTAGAAGCTTGCATTTGTCTGGTTCTGTTTACCTGAACTGATAAATATCTAACCACAACTTTGACTGACTTTGATGCTGTTCAGTTTATTCTCCTATTTTCAGATTATAAAAACAAACCTGCCACTCTCTTTGCAGAAAGCTCAGAGAGCTGTGGGATTTTAGTTTAGTTTATTTATTTGATAGGGACAATGCAATTTAACATAGTTTCAAAACAAAGCATGAAACTAATGTGTTGCACAAAGAAATTACAGTTGTTGATAATTCTCAACTCCTGTCCCTGTCCCCAAGCTTTTACAAGTGGAATCTAATTAAAACAGCTGTTAGCAAAGACAACACAATAGATTATAATATCCTACAATAACAAAAAATCTAAAAAGAGACAACAGCACAACATGCTACAAAACAGTCAAACAAAGAATTAGAACAATTAACAAAAGATACAATTACCTAGAAATGAGTACAGCTCTGGTTTGCTTTTAGCACTGAATCTTTGTTGTGAAGGAATTTATATCTGGAGTTTCAGTTGGTGATGTGTTCACAGCCCTTTATGAAGAAAGCTGATTGTCCAAATTTAGATCTACGATGTGATATTTTGTACCATGTTCTCAGTTACTCTGTAACTGTCCTGCCTTAATTTGAAGCAATTAAGGCCGGTCTTTACTGTTTTTGAGATCTTCTTTACATGTTTCTCAAATCTGAGATGTGGATCTAAGATTATTCCTAAGAACTTAAATCATTGACTCCCTCCATTTCTTTATTCTGAAGCTTGATTTTAAAGCTTCCAGGTGACACTGCGCTGGGCCTCACCTCCTCGACTCCTGGGCTCGTCTGAGCTGTCGTCCTCGAGCAGCACTGTGTGAGCCGACTTCCTCCTGCTCCTGGAGGTCAGTGGGAGGGACTTCGCTGAGGGCGCCGACACTGCGGAGGAGAACGATGGAGGGGTGGAGGGAGGGAGCAGAGAGGAGAAGCCCACGGTGAGAGGCGGCGAGGAGGAGGAGCCGGGGTCTGAGACGGTCCCCTCGTGGCTGAAGCTCCTCTTGAAGGTCCAGGCGCTGCCCTTCATCTTACTGAGGCTGCCGATGGAGTTGAGGATGACGGTGGCCCGGTTGATGGACAGCTTGGACAGGTCCAGGTTGGTCGCCACCTTACGGTCCAGGTTGGTCCTGATCCGGTTCTGTAAGTCAGAGGAAAAGGTTCCCGCCTGGGAAACAAGATACAAATATATAATTACAACCTTCCCCACTGATTTATTTCTTTCTTTGTTCAATTTAAATTTGCCACACCTCATTAATGAGAAAGTGTAAATTAAAACACAAAGATGTCTCCTGGTTCTCTCTTTAAAATGGAACTGAAAATCATTAGAATGACTTGTTTTCACGCTTGGCAGGTAAAATGTTTTTTCTTTGTTTACCAGCTATTGTGGAATGAGCCATAGTTTTTTCTCCTCACGATTTTGTCTTTGAAATTCTGAATGCCAATCTGCCACCTAGTGGACACTTTAACCAGAGAGCCTCATGCTGCACAGAACTGAAGAATGAGTGGGAGGGAAAATAAAGGATAAGGTGTTATTCTATTTTTTTTTATTATTGTTATAACACTTTCCATGAAAATCAACAATAAGTTAGTCTGTTTCTCTTCCTGTCCAAAGCCAGTGATCCTTCTGAAGATGTAAATCTTTGTAAACAGCCCACAAAAACAGAGGGCTCCAAAAGTCTGAGACCACTTTGGATCCCATTTTATATGGTTTCATTTAGAGCTGCACAATCAAAATTGCAATATAGCTGAGTGCAATATCCAAATCACAGGAGCTGTAATTTTTGGATGAAGGTAAAATGTGTCACAACATTGTTGTGTATTGTTAGCACCATGAGCGTTGTGGTGCTACAGAGCCGCCCCACATCATATTCTCCAGACGTAAAGGAACATGATTGTTTGGTACAAGACCAATAAAAATCATATAATCATCATTTTTATATTTTTTCCAGTGAAAATTAAATGCAAAAACCATCGTTCCAACTGAAATCATGACTCATATCACAATCACAATATCTGACAAAATAACAGCAATATGATTTTTTTTGCTTATGGTTCAGCACCAGTTTCATTTTCTTAAAAAAGTCTCAGTCAAACAGTAGGAAATGCATTTGTTGGGTACTGTTTTCAGTGGTGGACTAATACACATGTAGTGGCCTATGTTAGTGAGTATTTACAGCAGGGCGTTGCATATGGGATTTAGTCAAATATCTGAATCTGAATTGTAATTTGGCAGACTGTACCGATAGCAGAACACCTGTACAGTGTTACATTCATGTAGCAGATGGAGAAAGTCTGGACTTGCCCTTTAACCCCACAATGTCATTATGTTATGAAACAGCATGATCCAGGATTCACCTGTGCTCGTTGCTGTATGTAAAGCATCATTAGAAACCTGCACTGGTGAACTGAAGCTGCACAGAGTGAGGCATTAAAGAGCCAATCCTGTCCCTGTTCACTCCTCAAACAACAGCAAAGTTCACCTTGGGGATTGTGATGGCGTCGAAGTCCAGCGGGCGAACTTTGACCTTCTGGAAGAGGAAGTAGAATTCAGGGCTCCCTGGAGGCGACTGGCCACCAAAGGTCAACGTGTCGCCATCTGAGAGCTCCCACTGGACGCCGGGCTGGAGGCGGACCTCGTTGACCCAGGTGCCTGGCAACACAAGAGCAGAAGGCGAAGATTTTTTTTTTTTTTTTTAAATGAAACTCCAGCTGCTGAACGCTTCACTACAAAGCGCTGGCACTGAATGTGTTCAGCTTACAAGATGTTTAGAGACTCTTAATTCAACGAGCATGCGAGCAGCAGGAGAAACTCTCCAAACAAACGAGCAACAGTTTTACAGCCATGTCACCTGGGGCCAGATAATCAGAGAACTTTTTTAATATATGAACATCTGCCAAACAAGAAGGAATAAATCAAATGAGCAGAGCCTCAAAATAAAGTCATTTCTTGACTACCAATGTGTTTACAGTTTCAAGAATTTGGGGGGGGGGGTGTAAAGCAGCCTGTGAAATGGACCTAGAATTGAGGAGCTGGAAGGCTACAAGGCAATCAAAGGGCCATGACAGCACAGCACAAAATGAAAAATGCGCAGTGAATACTAAAAATGTAATTTTAATAGCAAAAATGAAAAATGTGTGAAACAGACTGTGAAATTACTTGAAAAATTAGGCAGTGAGAGGAGCACAGTTTGGAATCTGAGCCTGTCAGACACAGTCCATCAGCCTTAAGTGAAGATCCAACTTTCACTCTCAATCTTCTCCTTTCCCACCGTGTACCACTTCCTGTGCACTTCACGTTTCACTAATGACTATTAGCACACTGAGGTAGTGAGATGTAAGAGTTCCCCTCTGGGTCTGACACCTCGTCATATCCAATGATATCACTCCTTAGGCTTGAATTTACTTTAACATTTTGATGATTTTACTTCAATTTTCACTCTGTTTTATTTTTGTTCTCTTATATAGTTCCTCTGAACTTGAATGAACGACAACTTGACATTCCTGTTGACAATTCAATGCCTACACATTTCAGACCTGATGTGCATTAGACATGTCACCTTCCCCTGAGGGACAGAAGCACGGTGCACGGACAAATCGACTGAGGAACAGTTCAAAAAAAAATCTAGTTATAGTTATACTGTTGATGTTTATATCTTAATGATTTTAGTCTTTATTTTAATATATTCTACCAAGAGGATTGCTGCCAAACTTAATTTTGTTGTGTATTTAAATGCAATGACAATAAAGTATCTATCTATCCATCCATCCATCTATCTGTCTGTCTATTTTCAAAACCAAATCTCAAACTTGTGTTCCTCCATTTTACTGAAATCATCATGGTTTTCTTTTTATCTTTCTATTTCCTTCAAGGCTGCAGCTAAAAATGTTTTTCACTGCTGATTAATCTGCTGATTATCTTCTTGATCAATCAAAGAAGCATTTGGTTTAGAAAAAGTCACAGAATAGTTGATTTCCTGAAGTCCAAGGCAACATTTTGAAATACTTTGTTTTGTACAACAAAAGATTCAAAGAAATTTAATTTACAATCACAGAGGACAAAGAAAAGCAGAACATCTTCACTGGGACTACAAAAAGGTTTGACTTTTTTTGCACGAAAAATAGTTGTCAGTTAATTCTCTTTCCACCAACTAAGCCAACAGACAGCTACTTGTTTCAGTTTTACTTTTCTTTTTTTTTTATATAGCTGGTGCAAAGACTGTCCAACTGGTTTCTGATAAGGTGTTAATAAAAATTCTCTCGTTCTTGTGGTTGGACTCTGGACATCATCTGCTTGGCATTTTAATAACAACCGTTTTATTTCCATGTTGGTTTCGCCTTTAATTTGTCACTCATCTGTAGGTTTAAATTGATAATAAAATGTATAAATTACCTGTGTCATAGATCAGGAGTTGAGCTACTCTTTAATTACTTCCTTATCACCATTATTAAATTTCAATTTAGGCAACTTGTCTTTTTCTCCTGAGGCTGGAAAAACCCGAACTCTCCACTGTTTAAATAAAGTAAAAATCATGGAGGGAGAGATCATTGAAAAGTTTTTACATTTCAGAGGTGCATTTTATTCACAATGTGGCATTCGAGTTCCGAGGCTTAACCTCATCTGTACTTCTGCAGCTGCGTTTGGGCAGCTAATAGCTGTGTGTGGGGCTCAGCTGCTGCTGTCAGACTGCAGGTGTTAGTCTTTGGTATTCCTGTCACTAAATCTGCAGGAGAGTATGTTTGTGTTTCAGTGTGTGTTTGTGTGTGTGTATCTCCACCCACATCAAAATGAAATGTGGGAAACTGTATTTTTCACCTGTTTACAGTTTGACTATCAGTATTCCTGTGTGAGCCCAGTTCTGCTTTATATCAGTCACACAAGCGAGTGTTTGTCTTGTCCAACTGTGACTTTCTAAACACAAATATTTGCATTTCTGTCCATGAACAAGTTACAAGTTGTACTGTGTGTGTGTGTGTGTGTGTGTGTGTGTGTGTGTGTGTGTCTCTTTTCCTGCAGGAGTTGTGATATTTCTCGTAAACAGGTGAGTTTTTGCCTCTTTCTCTCTCCCACAATGACTGTAGAGGGCATGACTGTGGTTTGCCTTTCTAAGTCTCATCTTGACTGCGATGGTGTGGGTGTGCGTGCGTGCGTGCGTGTGTGTGTGTGTGTGTGACTCAACCGATTAAAATCCCAGGCCTCCTATCCTTGATGTGAACCATCCAGCCCTCCTCCTGCGCCGTCGCGTCCCCTCCGCTCGCCTCCCTCTCGGCGTGCAGTTCAGCATGGATGCGGGACACCGACGCAGAGTCCAGCGTGACGTCGCACAGCTCCGCCGCTCGGCCCAGGCGGAACACGCAATGGCTCAGAGCCGGTCTGAACGTGTACAGGTCCCGTGCGGAGTCACCCGTCGACGAACCGATCCGGAGCAACTGGAAGCACGGCTGAACCCCTGACAGCATGCCTGAAGGGTCTGATTGTCTGCCACCTCTGAACTCCCCCACCCTCCACCTGTCCCCACCCAGAGGCCCCACCTGATCTGTGACAGGCCCTGAGTTACAAGAAGCTGCAATCCATTTTCAGATTCAACTCTTTACTAGTGGAAAGGAGTTAAATTAAAGGCATTGGTGCTTGACCACAGGGAGCTGCGCACCAACATAAAGCTACAGATAAAATACTCTAGTGTGGAGGTTACAGGCAGGTGCTGTCCCTTTAAGCAACAGGTGTTTGCATTAGTATGGAAAGCTGGTGACTTGTGTCATGCTGTGACTACATGAATACATAATGAGGACACAGAGCACTGTATAAGCTGATGAAGTGTGGAAATGAGCGTCTACACTCTTGTTATGAGCCCCAGCTCAAACACACTAAATCCCTTGTGGAGTGGAGACTGTGAGACGGTGGATTTAAGAATAGAGACGTCCTGTAACATGGACAGCCTAATGCGAAAAGGTGCAGCAAACATTAAAAACCTTGAGACGTAAACCTGACGAAAAACCTGACAGCCGTGACTTTTAGCTTTGAGTTTGAATATTTGCAGGTTTGAGCAGCTGTCAGATGAGTGTGTGTGAAAGAGAGAGAGAGAGAGATTAAAATCCCAGGCTCCTGGCATCAGTTGACATCAGCCATCTCACAGGTGTGAAGCCTGACAGGGTGTAACGGCTGAGGGCTGTCTGATCTAGAAGAAAACAAAAGAGGAAAAATCCATGAAAGAAAAACAGCTTTTAGTTAATTGCTCTACTTAGTGTCAGATTTATGCTTTAGAAATAAAATTTATTTTACATTTACAAAACACACGAACACGTTAAAGTTAAATATGCAGATGATACATTTATAATAAAACTTTTTTTTTTTCTTTTTTAAATGAGCTCCGGCTAGTTGCAGTCTGCACCGCGGGCCGTGCATCAGCTGCGTGCAGGCAAATCATGGGACAAAGCAAGACACAATAAGGAACCGGAGCGGACCCCGTTTAACTGCTTCTATTTCCATGTAAACTACTAATTCATTTAAACATAACTTTGACTAAAGTTAAGATTGGATCAATAAGAGTGATAGAGTTTCTTGGTTCTGGTTTTTAGCTTGTCAGTCAGATGCTCGATTAAGGTTTAAGCTAGCTGACGTTAGTTCCTCGTCGGACAGAATGAAAGTCAAAGCTGCCACTTACAGCAACAACTGAGCTTCACACCGACTCTCTGTGAGTTTCTCCCCCGGATGAGACACCGTCGACCGTTCAACCTGAAGGTTTAACTCCCGCACTTTGGTTGAATTTTACTGTTTCCACAGCTTTTTCCACAGTTTTGTCGCCGTTGTTCGTCAGACTTCGGTGCAGCTTTTTTCGCTGTCTCTCCTCCCAGGAGGAAGTCCTTTGAAATTTGGCGCGCCAGTCCCGGGGCTTCCTAGCGCTAGAAGCTGCGTCACGTCCTGCCCCGCCCCGAGTGGCTGACGGCCAGGGCGCCTTCAGCAGCAGCAGGAAGGAGGAGCACGAGGAGGAGGAGGGACCCCACAGAGCTGTCCTGAAGAGGTACTAAGATCTTTTACTGAAGTATGTAGAAATACTCTGTCACAAGTAAAAGTCCAGCATTCAAAATGTTACCAAAATAAAAGTATTAAACTATTAGTAACAAAATGTACTTAAAGTGCTAAAAGTAAAAATGCTAACCATGCAGAATGCCCCTCCTCAGAATTCTCATTATTATAATTCCTGATGCACTAATCGCATTCATTCATAAGATTAATGTTGCAGTTAGTAAAGATAGAGCTAATTTTAACTACTATATATACTGCTTACATATAGTGCTTAGCCTTTAATTTATCTTTGTTGTTACATTGACAAGATGTCATGTTAATAATAATAATTATTATTATTATTATTATATTTATTAATGTCCACTATACTTTCCTTTTCACCCTCTCACAGAAGACAGATATATAACACAGATACATACGACTACATCACATATAAACCTTGAAAAATACACACACACACACACACACACACACACACACACACACTCACTCACAAACACATCATAGACACTTACCATACGCATCATTTTCATTGGATTTCTCTATAACTGTTCATGTTTTTGTTGTCATTTACATGTCTGTCCATTATGTGTACCCTTCGTGTCACACTTTTTCTGTTATGCAAAGTCACTAATAAAAAAAGAAATCTGAATCTGTACAGTCACTAGTAAATGAATCTGTCAGACAAATCAAGTGGAGTAAAAAGTTCAATATTTCCCTCTTATTTTTGAAAGCTTCCTCAAATTACTTACCTTACCTAATGGTACCACAGTTTATGGTTCAATTCCCAGCCATGACATCTATGTCATACCCCTCTGTCTCCTCACATCCCTGCCTATAAAGCAACAAATGCAAAAACAAAACAAAACAAAAACATGTGACATAAGATGTCTCTGAATTCATTCAGTGTGTGTGCACTGAAGGCTTCAAATTTTCACATCATATTTATAAGAGTTGTATATTGGCTTTCAAAGTGATTGTGTGAGAGCGTTAGGTGGGGTATTTATTTATTTAATACGGTTTTCTAGTTTATTATTCGCTGTTATTTTGAGTGGGAAACCATATATTTATATTTCTGCTCCTGTCAGTGTCTATTTGTCCTCTGGTGATCATCAGCTGGCAGTCGTGCCCCTATATAGGCAAACTTCCTGACACCCCCACCCCCCTCGCCTCTTCACTACCTGCCAACCGCACTCTTATACACTAAAGTAAATGTTATGTAAGGAAGTAAGTGGGCCCCTATAGGCAGCACTCACTCCGCCTATATGGAGGGGGGGTGCAATCAACTAGAGTTCAAACTGTACAAGTTGAAGAGCCAGAATTATGGATCAGGATGTGTTCAATGTAAACTGGTTTCTCAGGAAAATGTACTATTTACTTCCTGGCATGCTTTAGAAATGCTTGTTACTCCATAACTGAAATTCTACTAAATCCATGACTTTGTTGGAATGAAATGGAAACAGCATTAAAAGCATTGAAATTAAAAAAAAAAAAAAATACAGTTTGATTCACTCTCTGTTGAAAATTGATTTAATTGGAATTATTCATTCATTACAGAAAAGAGAGAAGCTTTACAAAAGTCTGTGCAGGATGCCAAAAGGTCTTACATAGTACCAGTATAGAAATAACCACTGATTTATTCTTCAAGCAAACAACAGGGTATAAGTGGCTTGTTCACGGCAGGACACAGAAGTATTGTAAAAGTCAATGATTACCCAGCTTTGGAAAATGATCAAATGAAATCTGAACTCTGAGGTTTGAAGCATTCATGTAATTTCTTTCAAAATGAAAGCGACACGCACAAACAGACAAACCACTGAGCAGACCAGAATTCCTCCTCGACACCTGTGTTTTTCACTTACAACCTCACCTGAGGAAAACACTGTTTTGATCAGCGACAGTTTGACAATGAGAACTGGACTGGATTTCACTAAGTCAACACAACAAAGAAAATTAGTTTCCTTTTTTACAAACATACAAGCAAATATAAGATTATGTCGGGCTGAAAATTATCCATAAAAATGACCAATATGGACACAAGCATACTTTCATAATTCATAAACATTTTTTCACAAATACTTTATTATTCAAAAAAATTTTAATTTCACCTTATTAAAACTGTATATTGTTTGGTTTTGTCCTTTTGAAATAATTTTATCTTTTATTACCATTTTTGTTTTCATCATTCTTATTTATATTTTGCATTAATTTGTTTTTATTGTATGTATTTTATTTGTATGTATTATTCATATTTTTCTATGTATCCTATTTCAGAAGTTATCATTGTTTCCTTTATTTTCAATGTTTAATAGTTTTAATAATTCATACTCATTTAACATACAGACACATACTCTCATCATTTCCAGAAGCAGAGAGTTTGGTGTAGCCTCTCAGATGAATTAACCGAAATGTCCAGACAGCAACTACGGATTTCACTTATGTATGTGTCAAACAGTCAGCTGCATGTTTCTCTAATAGTACACACAAACACAAATGAGACAAAACGTTCTCCCAAACCTCTATAATCATTTAAAAATCAAAACCATTATCATAATGTAAATGAAACTGCTGGATTTGAGAAAATAAAATTATTTTATTGTAGTTACAGTACAAGATCAGGTGGAAAGAAAAGGTAATTTTTTAGGTTATTGAGCTGCAGTAATATTGACAATGCCAATACTTCTCCTGTCTGAATCATGAGTTAAAACCAACAGCATCTACTTAAGCCTCGAGCCATCCTGAGTCTGGGGCTTCCCAAAACCAGAACCATGGTTGAGAATGTCTGTTCTTTATATTGGGATTTTATAGAAACTGTAAATAACATCTGGCATTCAGCATTTATTCCATGTATAAAAACAAAGCTTAGAATCTGATTTTATTTTTTTACTTTTATTTAGACACCAGTTTCATGGGAGTCTATGCACATTATATAATTATATTATAATTATATTAAAGGAGAATACCAGTGTCATTAAAAAGTCAAACTCCTTTTGATTGATTTTACAGCAAAATACAAAAGTTGTCATGTCCGAGCAAAGATACTGTAGATAGAAAAACAAAACATGATGATATGAAAAAGTTTGTGCAAAGGTGAATTTTTTTACTTTTAGTGATATTTAGTTGGAACAAAGTTTGACTGAGCCAAATGGAAGCTTCATGTTTTCCTATTTTACAATAATAAATGGTAGAAAATAGTTTTTGCTATTGGAAAACAGCCTTTCTTATTCCCTGAACTGACTGTATGCAGAACCTAACAGGAAATAAAATCCGTTTAAAAAAGAAACACTGGTATTCTCCTTTAACTGTCACTCTCTACTACTGTCTGAATGCCATCAAGTGAAAGGTGATATTTAGAGTCAGGGAGGGATCATGGGAAACCGGAGCCAGACATCGATGACAAGATCAGGATGGACTCGGGAGGCGGGCTGTACAGAAAAGTGCAATTCATATTATTACTATCATTATTAGCTAACAGCATCACGCCTGCTGTCCCACAAGCAATCTACAGGTCAGCATGCTGCAGTTACACTAACTCTTAGGTATAGTCTGGGACAGCAGATATAGGCTATAATATCAGAGGAAGGACAAATACGAAGCACGTCAGTAGCAAGAATAATCTTTTGATGCTAAATGTGATACTACAAAAGGTTCTGACCATGAAATGTGCTCGAGCATGTTCATTCATTCATTCAAAGGAAGTGAGATTTTTCTTTTTTTCTTTCTGAGGATACTCCAAAGGTAGGATACCACCAAAGTAAACACACTGATTATATGAAAATTTCTAGATTACTTCTAGGAATACTGCTTCTTTTTTTTCCCCCTTGTATAAAAAAAAACATTCTTAGGTGCTGGGGGGGTTATTATCATGGTGGGGACAGATGTGAGGCTACAAAACACAGTTCAAGCAGACAGGGTGCAATGCGTGTGCAATAATTCACTGTAGCCCAGAGTAGGAGTGCTGTTGTCCAAAAGAATCTCCTGATCTGAAACTGTTGTCATAAAATGTTCATAAGACAACCCTTATAAAGGATTTATAAATGGCTATTAATTTGGTTGTTAAGACTTTATGAATCATAGGCTAAATAAACAATTATAAACAAGTTGTAACAGTTTTCATACATTGATGCAGGCTCACTATTTGGGAAGATCAAGTTAATGCTTACTACTCATTTATCTTACTAATGAGTAACTACCATTTATAACTGGTAAACGGAGCTTTATAGTGACTCATTAAACTAAACTATTAGACCTAGAAGCTTGAAGCTTCAGAGGAGTTTTTTGACAAGATGTAGAAGTATTTCGGAGCTTTTTCAATGCTCTTGTATAAAGTATATCCTATTGGTGGTTATCAAATATGATTTTTTTTTTTTACAGGTGAGGACTGAAAAATACAAAAAATACCATGTATGATCTGATGATATGATCATGTGATCTGCCATAATTTGATCTGTCAAATGAAACCTTCTGACCATGAAGACGCTGATGTTGGTTCATTTTTAGTAACTGAACAAACATGATGAAGCAGCAGGTACAAACGCTGATGATGGAGAAAACAAAGAAAGCTCAGTAACTAATGAGATATGAGGGTTAACAGTACAGAGACATGTGGGCTAACGATATGGAAACTGTTGCCCTTATTATCTAATGTGTTATAACAGCTTATAAATAATTCATAAAGTGTTAACAAGCAAATTAATAAACTAGTTATAAACGGGCTAGTCTTATAGTAAAGCGGTACCTCATAGAGTGAGCCTGGCGTGACAGAGATCAGTGGTTTTCTATTAATCAGATATGAATCAAAGATAAGATTAAATTCAATCCCAGTAAAAGCCACTGATCTGCACTGGACTGAATTAAGCTTAATTGATTTCAGTCCCAGAAGCTGCACTCGAAAGTTCCTTTGATACTCTGTGATTGGAGGTATTAGTAAACTGCGAAGCTGCAGACATCGTTTCATGGGGTTTTCAGTATATCTTTTTTACAGAGACCAATAAGATTAACAGAGATGTGAATCTACCAGAACTGAGAGAACATTGTATTAAATCTCCCCCTGCCCACACATGGATCAGCACTCGAGCTCTGAGAGGCTTTGTGAATTAGTTGCTGTGATGTGTAATGAAACAGAAAACATCAGGCCGAGGTTGAACGGCAGAAAGTGAAATCCTTTCATGAAGCTTACGTCAGCTGTGATCACCTGAACCTATGGTTTTATTATTCCCACAGACACATGCTGAGATTCAAAGGAGGCTGGTAACCCCTCCCTGACTCAGAAGTCGAAAGTGCCTTACAAAACCGGCTTTGTAACGTCTGCTTAGGATGAAACATTTCATATCCTCTTTAAAAGCACGATACAGTGTGTTTTTCACAGAAACTGTGAATTAATTCATCTAAATGAATCTGTTGCCATTGTTTCTAAGCAGGTTTCATGGAACACAAAACCTTGTGTGCAACTTTTATTTGTGTGTTTCTCATGTGGACGATACTCAGGCCTGAATGTGATGAATGTAACCCAATAGACTACAGCTACAGCTGCAATATGCAGTTATTAAAGGAACACCCAGACATTATGGGTAATATCCTGCTTCCTTATCCTGCATTCAAGCCATGTTTAGAAGAGTGGGATGAATTATATATACAACCCATCAGTACAAGAGTGTTATCTGCACTCCTAGATTTGTTTCAATGAGCTGAATCAACTGCAAGTGTTAAGAAGAGACTCTATTTAGATTTAACTGCCAGCAATAGTGGCTTTGCAACCGTTTAGCCATTTTGTAAAGTGTTTTTAATATAAAGTGATGGTTCTTTAACCACTTTAGAAACATATATCACAGATTTAGCTGTGATAAAAATCACAGCTTTCACACGTTCCTAACTCAGAACAAAACCCCAAACCCCTCGTTAGCTTACAACATGCGACACGTGAACAGAAAGATTGTCCCTGGTTTAGTTTAGCTTAGTTCAAACACTGGAAGCAGAGTGGAAAGCTAGCCTGCCTCCATCAAAGATGCACAACTGGAACAAGCACAACCCCTTGCTAGCTTACAGCATACAACATGTGAGAAGAAACATTTTGAAGGAGTACTTTTCCTCTTTTGACAGTCTTTGTGCTACGCTAGGCTAAACACTCTCCTGGAGTTGTAGTTCCTGGCAAGGCAGCAAATACATGTGCATGTTTTCCAAGTATTTTAAAACATGTACCTTTTTTTCCACATTAGCTACTTCTACTAAAGTTTTTATTTAACTATGCGCTGGGATTTGACCCTAATGGTTTGCCGTTGATCTGCTGCCTCACCAACTACATACAGCAACTGTTTGGCATTTTTGACATCATTGTACTGCATGTTGGTTTTCTGCTATTTTATCCTTATTTTTAATCCTAATTTTAATCTTATTCTTGGTCTTGGAAGACAGGATGTAAAATATAAGAGAGGATACCTGGTTTTATAACACTGATGTGTCAAAGAGTATACCCCTGAGGCAACGAGCGGTACTACACCCCAGCTGAGGCAAACTTTGATGAAAGGATCTCACACATGAAAACACGACATGAGTCTTTACGTGTTAACTTCTTACCTACTGTGGACACGTGGTTAAAGGATCAATGCAGCGTTTTAATAGTATAAAATCTTGCATAAGCCTTGCAGTAAGAAACATATTAGTATTTTCACACTATACACATGCAGATCACATATTTTAAATATTTACAACAGTGAAAAAAAGGATGATTAAGAGTGGCCAATACTGAGATATGTGCTATGTCAGATTCCTCTCTCCACCCTGTTGTGTTAGTTATGTTTCAGTGCCATTATCATCAATATTGCTTAATATTTAATTGTAGATCCTGTGACAATATACATGTCATTAGCCAATCTAACCTACTTATCAACCTGATATTTCTATCACACAGTCACTTCTGGGAGCCTTTACTGTTGCCTTCTAGTATATATATACTGTATATACATATACATACATATGTATATATGCGTATATCTGATTAAGTCAAGAAGTCCCTGCGTGAGTAAAAGCACTGCCCTATAAAACAGCCATAGAAAATCAATAATTCAATGGCATGGAAGTAGGGTATCATAATGCTTAAAGACTCAGTCCAAACCACATTTTCCTGAATAATAAGGGAGCTAGCTAAAAGTCATTTTTTTGCAGATCACTATATTGTATTTACAATAGCTGCTACTTGTTTTTTTTTACCCATTTAAATCACAATGTGAACTTTTTTTTCTCGCTTCAAAATTAGTTAAAATTTGTGCTTTGCTTTTCCAGACAGTCTGACTGTCTGCTTTTAGCCCCCCTCAGAGGTATAGGTCGTAAATCTCTTAGACTTCCCAGGTTGACATCAATTCAGTTACAGCATGAGGTAGCCACACCGCTAATGGCTGTCAATAGGCAACAATAGCAGTGACATCTAAATGGCATCCTTGGGACACTGGAGCCTTGTTATGATGAAAACCACCCATGTTTGGTATATGGTATGTCAGTGGGTGAAGCATGTGACTGATGTTGCCGTGGATACTGCTCTGCTTCCCCAAAGGTGCAAAAGTGCTGTACTCTTTTAAGTGTGTGTGTGTGTGTGTACGTAAGTATTACAGAGTGTTTGGCCCTGTGGAGGAGAGGACATGCTTTCTGCAGCAGAGTGAGATGTCTTGCTCTCGTTCTGTGAGATGTCTTTGGTGTAAATCGGCTTCCTGTGACCTGAATTAGCCCACAGGCTCCTTCCACAGCAACGAAGGGGAGCTAATTAGTCCAGAGCAGTCGTTAGGACTGTGGGAGCTGAATCTAATCAACTCCGTCATGCTTCTCTTTAAATACATTTGAACTCGTGCCACTGCTTCCGCTCTCCCATCTGTGTTTCTGTGGTCCATCACTTAGATCTTTTCTTTCTTTATTTTCCTACAAAATGTTTTTATTGTTGATGAGCCACTGCTGATTTACCCAGATTTCAGCAATTCCTTGAAAAATAAAACTTAAACAAAAAAAAAGAGCAGATTTTCTCCAAGGATGTCATTCAGAAGCTACTTGACTACATCTGTACCACATCCAATCTCACGCACAGATGCTTAAGAGCAGTGGTTCCAGTACAATTTTGATAAAAAAGATGTTATTATATAAATAAAAACTGAAAATATAAATAATGTTTTTAAATGTTTTAAAACAAAATGATCTTCAAAAACATAAAAAATGTTTAATCCTTTCTTTGTTTTCTCATACTAAGGCCTATCAGTGTGATAAGCCAGTAACAGGAACTTTTACGTTTGTTGCCGGACCACATCATGTACTTGTTTGCTAACTAAAAGATTATATCCAGTATCAAAATGTACCGCTGGTTAGCAACAAGGTCTCTCCCCTGTCAAATAAATAAATAAAGCTTTCAGTTCATTAGTTCAATCCTGAATGTTAAATCGTTATCATTAAAATAAAAAGTGCTCTGAGAACATATTATTTAGCCTGGGGAACCGCTGCTTTACAGCTCTGCAGTAAAAAAATATTTAGTATGAACTATTAGTTATTGGGATTTAAATGCCCTTAAATCAATAAGAAGTGTAACCTGGTCACAGAGCAGCTGAATACATTTAAACTGAAGTGGTTGTAAACACATGTCCGTCCTGTGCTACACACACACTACATACTGTTACTGCTACAGTCAGTAGTAGCCTCAGTGTCACTTAATTGTACGGTGGGTTTGGATTCATAGAGCACCAGCAGTAAACGTGAGGTGAGTTATTTATATTATTTTAACCTTGAATTCGGGGTTTGTGTCCCCCTCTTTTTCATTTTCTATTTTTCATGGGCTGAGTGGACTGATGTCTCCATGCAGTTGCACTGAATGTCTAACATAGTTGGTTGCTTTGTTACGAAACACACACTCGTACACCTCTCATTATCACTTATTCGTTGCGTTCAGGGGCTGCAGGCTGAGGCTGTGTTGTTATCGCAGATTGATCCAACTGCGTCTCACTTCATTTTGGCAAAACAACGGGGCCACAATAATCAGAGCTCCGTGAGATGGATGGGGAGGGGGGGGTTAGAAGATGAAAATAGGAGGCTTTAAATCATGCAAGTCATTTATCTGTTCCCCCCCGAATGGTACCCTTATCCATCTCTGTCGTCGTCTTTCATCACTGCTCCTCACTCTCTGCGGTGTCAGTGAATCAGTCCATCTGCAAAGAGACCAAGAATCCAATTATGTTCTAGAGGGCTGTTCCAGAAGTCCTAAAAGTGTTGCACAGTCTTCTATCCAATCTTGTTTTGCTCTGACAGGGACAAAAAAAAAACAGATGAGGTCGTTTCTACAGTTTGCTGTGTTTCTCGTAGGTGTTTTCTGAGAGAGATGTGTTTTTATTTTTAGATTATGTCTTAAAATGTGGCAGATTTGACCCACGATTTCTAATAGAAAGGAAAATAACCAGCAGCACTCACACAGCACAGGAGTGGTGATATGCAATCCAGTTGAGCTTGTTTTGAGTTTGCAGGTTTTTCAGAAGGAGGTGTTTCTCATGAGCGAGTGCTGAGACAAGCACTTGTGTCTGAGTGTAGGAGACACTTTCTGACATGCTTAATAATAGAGTCTGTGTGCGGGTGGGATGAGATGCAATCACGGCGGTGTTTGTCTGATGCTGTGAGAGCAGACCAAAGTGCTGTCAGAGGCAACACGTTGAGATTCGCTCTTTGCTGCTGTTGTTAGTGGCCTCGGTCTGATTCCTCGCAGTGAACTGGCTCCACCTGTCGAACTGTCAAACTGCTGTAATTGTTTGATGACCTTTCTACAGGAGCTAAAAATTATTTCATCCCATTTAGGTGTTTAGTGCTAAGAGTGTTTCACCCTTGTCACATCATCATAACTTTGTTTTGAGCCTGTGCTTCTTTAGCCCGTTGAAGCTCGCATGCAGGCAGTCTACTCTAACGTGAGCGTTGTCCTGTAGACCTGAACTATTATATCTACTTTAATGTTTAATTTAAATGCATGCATTTTCCCTATGGATGCAAAATTGCATTGTTCTTGTTTTGATAAGAGTTTAGGTTTACTTTTTGCATCTCATTTTTCAGTGCATAGTGCAATCAATTTTGCTTTGTGCATTATGTGCAACTGCCTTTTTTATTATTTTCTCCTGGGCTACACTGGTATCCGAATCCAAGCGTGAATATTTTGTCTCAGGTGTTGTTTCAAACGCAGTGATGGAGGACTGGGTGGTGTTTGATAAGATAAGGTTCAGAAAGATGAAGAAGAGAAGAGATGAGCTAAAAAAAATCTATCCTGGTGTTTCCTCTCAGGTGCTCTGTGCTGATTCCTCTTTCTGCTCAGCTTCTCCATTCTCAGCCCCTCCCTCCATCTGGGCTGGATCCGACCCAACGGTGCCCCTGGAGGCCGTTCCCGGCGACGCGGCGCCATGCAGGCTGCCATCGGGGGTCGTAGCTGCAAGTGAGCGAGGATTGGAGGCGGGGCTGGCGCTCATGGCGGAGTCAGGGGTCCGACTGGCGCTGAGATCAGGGACGACGGTGGCCTCCAGGCTGTCTGAGTTGGCTGCCTCGGTCACGGCTGTAGGGGACACGGCGTTCAGGAGGGGTTTGTGGGAGGCGTAGGTCATCACAGCTTCAGTGTCGCTGTCTAGAGGGAGACCAGAGGTGGTGAACTCCACTCCAGAGTCGCTCATCTCCAGAAAGTTGTCTGACGTAAGAGCCTGGTAGCGGCCGGGTTTGGAAACCTCAAGGCCCTGTGGAGAGAGAGGAAGAAGGAGGGATGGGAGAGGAGAGAGGAAGGGAGGAGAAGGTCAGGAGATGAAAAGCAAGAGGAATATGAAGTTAGGAAAGGAGAGGACACAAAGCGAGATAGACAGAGAAAAAGAGGAGAGTAAAGTAAAACAAAAAGGGGAGCAGAACGAAGGAGGCGGGGGAAGGTGAAAAATAAGAGGCACAAAAAAAAGAGAAGGATGAGACAAGTACACAGTGGATTCCCCCAACAGAGAGGAGGAAGAGGAAGAACGGAGGGAAAAGAAGTGGTAAAAAAAAATTGAGGTCAGTGAAAAAGCAACATGAATAATTTATGCTCATATTTCTAGGACCATATTTATAGATTTACCTTCACTACCACACAGCCAACGCTACATGCTCCTTGTTACACAGAGACAACAGAAATGTTCAGCACATGAACGAACGATCCACAGAAGGAAAACCAGTCAGATTCACAGTGAAGGTGTTACACTGTAAAATGTAGGTTATGGACGAGAGGCTACACCTGCCTTCTCGCATTAAATATGGAGATAATGTTTCATTATTTACACAGAATGGATAAAATAACAGGATGAAACCTTATGAGGTCATATCACAGAGCATGTAGCTTCTCTGCTAACTGTTGTTTATACAGCATTTCAAAGACTATATTTCAACATGTTGTTTGCATCTGCTTCATAATGAAATATAGCAATTAAAACCTGATAAAACAATTGTTATAGGTAACCTAAGCATGTAAAAAATATTTTTTTTGCTTTTAAAAAAAAAAAAAATTATTCGGGATACAACAATGAATATAGAAATGTAGGATTGCAAGTGTTTCCATTTTTCTCTTTTATAGCAGGATCATCCCCCAGGCCCTCAAAGAACACTGTCTCTGTATAGAAAATAACACTACTAATAAATTATAATGTATAAATAAATACATCAAATATATAAAACATACAACATTCAAATACGTATAAATGTTAATTTGTAATATCTAATATAAATAAATAGAAAAGTTAGAAAGAGGAACATTATATAAAAAAAAACTAAAGAAAAAATAAAGGAAAAATCTTATTAGAAGAAATAAATAAATAAATGAATAAATAAAAGAAATTTTGTCAGGGGGGGAGAAAAGGTTAGATGTCTAGATACTGTTGGACATTTGAATCAACAAAGCTGGTAAAGTAACTGCAGTGTCCTCTGATCTTCCAAGTTAAAAGTTGACGTGATATCTGCAGAACAATCAAAGAACTCTAAGAGCTCCTCTGACTCTTCTGACCTTGACCACTTCACTTTCTTTATTCCTCTCTCTTTCAGTTTCACAGACTTTAATCTGCTCCACTGCTCAGTGCACTGTGTAAGGTTGATTGCCTTTTAATTACACTTGGCACTGAGGTGATATTATAAAGAAGGTAGTTCCTGCCAAGCAATCTCAAGTACAAAGATGGTAAATGATCTCTCTGTTCTTGAATCAGTTTCTTTATTGATATACGACTTTGTCCTGACAGTTCACAGGTGTGTTTCTAATCAAGTTTTTGGACGTCACTCAGCTGCAGCTCATTCTCATAATCGAAATTAAGACTTTATTGGCAGATATTATTGCTTCTATCTACATGTCTTATCAATAGACACTCACCTAAAAACCTGCTGTTGAAACACTTGTTTTGTTGACCCATTAGCCTGGTTTCCACTCCAGGACTAAATAGTCTAAAGCTGAGTGGAGCAGCGGATTCAGGTGATAATTCTCAGTATTTCATCACTACGAATTAACTCTTTCACATCACGCCTAAGAAAACACAGATTATAATTTCTTTAAAGACCCCTCTGGTGAAAATCAAGTGTTTAACCTTGTTAACGTCCATATGATGTTTTTATAGAATACAAGAAATATGATGAGTGAAATAATCATCAACACCATGAATGAGTGTTTCCACCTTGAACTGCAGTGAACCAATGACAGTCTCATAAATACAGATTCAGACAGCCAGGGTTTCATATGTCACAAACCTAAGGAACCAATCCTGTCAACTTGTGGGGACAGGGGGCGGGGCTAAATAAACCTGAAACCTTGTCAGAACAGAGAGACAGAGTTAGCATTAGCACAACCACTAACACTGTGTCAGCCACTGCCAGTTACAAGCTAACAAACACCATAAACAAATAAAAGATGCTAACTGTGCTAACCGTTCTGATCTGTCTGCTAGTCTCTGGTTCTGGTCTCAGACTCCTCCTCTGAGTCTGGGTCTGACTGAGGCTCAAACATGTGGCTGAGTCTCTCTGATGTTTCCTCCTCTAACCATCTTGATACTCTCTGCTCTTTCACCTGGAGAGAGCAGGTGGTGGGCGGGGATCAAGGCCTGATCCAGATTTCTCAACCAGGAAGTAAGAGGAGATGAGCTTCAGACCCAGTTTTTATGTGTGAAAACCATGTTCAACTAAATATTTTATAGTTTAAAACATGTAACTTTTAAAGAAAACTTCAAGATTTTTCTGCATTTCAGAATTTGTCTGCAAAACAGAAGTGACTTGTGTTTTTTAATGACATGCTTGTTACTGTATATGAGTGTATTTTAATGTATTAGTGTTACAGCAGCATCTTTTTGACTCTGCCTCGGTTCCACCACTGACCTTGATGGTGACCTCTGTGCTCTCCGAGGGTTTATCACACACAGACTGCGTCAGAGACTCCTCAGTGAACCTGGTGTACGCCTCATGGACCACCTGCAGACACAGACACAGACACAGACACAGACACAGACACAGACACAGACACAGACACAGACACAGACACACACACACACATATGTAGGAGGTGTGTCAAAATGGGGCCACAACAGTGTAACATCACAGCAACTGTGTTTTTGCAAACGACTAGTCTTCAAAAATACACACACACACACACACACACGCACACACACACACGCACACACGCACACACACACACACACACACACACACACACACTGCTTGAGAGGACATGAACACACACATACACACATACACACACAAGGCACAGAAAGATCTTAAATACACATATAAGAACTGAACAGGAACTTTGTATGGCGTGACTGAAAGACAAACTTTTGTATTTGTCTTCATGCTGAGGCTGGAGGTTGAGAGGAAACAGAGCCGGGGGGGCTGTAATCTTTAAAATGTGTCGCATGCTTTGAATTGCAAAATGAGAGGAGGTGAAAGATGGATGGAGGTGGTTTGAAGAGTAAAAGCAGGAGAGGTAAAAAGAGGAAACACCAAGATGGATATGATGTAGGAAAGGCGGAGCAAGTTGGAGGAAAAACTGAGACAGGTTTGAGAGAATGAGGGTAAGACATGAAGTGAGGGAGCAGAAGGAGAGATGGGATTTAAGAACAAGAAGGAACTGGTAAATATTTTAGTGGTGCCCGAGTCATGAACTAAAACTACACTGTATATGACAGGCTGTTTATTATGTGTTACCAGATATTTCATTTATAAAATCATTTATTTAGGAAATTTAAAGTTTACAGTATGTTGAAATTCATAAAACACAAGCAAAACCTTCCAGAAACATTTCACAATTTTTTTCTCTTATCTTTAACATTCACTCTTATTCAACAAGACGGATTTTCATTTACCTTGCTGCCGTACTTCCAGTTATCAATTTTCTTATCAAATTTAGTGGTCATCATCTTCTTTAATAACTTTTAAAACATATTTAAAAAAAATATCTTTTATCTTTTTGTGTGACTGGATATATATTACATATCTAGCACATTTAAAGTGTTAAAACTTATTATTATTGTTATTATTATTATAGGTATTTTACATGGAAAATGACCTGAACCATTATCTGAGTGGTTGCCAATTCATTTTCTGTCAACTGACTAAACCATTCATTGACTCATTTCATCTCTATCTGTATGGACTGTTGGGTAGTCTGATTTATAACAAAGCTTTATGGTTTCTTATTTTCTACATGTGAAAATCTTAATTTGTAAAAGCTGTCAGAAAAAAATACAATGTTCAATGTGAGCTGCCAACATTAAAGAGAAGCGGTGTTGACTAAAAATAGTCAAGTAAATGCCAACAACTTGTGTGTTGCAGGGAGCTCTACTCTGCATCATCTTTTGCTGAGTGAAAGAAGTGGGAGGAAGAGAGGGTGGCGAGATAAGTATGAGCAACAAGACAGACAAGTGAGGAAAAAAAGTGAGACACAGGAGATTTAAAGTGAAAGAATGAGAAGAAAAGAGAAGAAGTGAGGCAGGTGATAAAAATATAGAGAGCAGAGAGGCGAGGCGACCAACGGAGAGGAAGATGGATTGAAGAAAATGAACAGAGAGGTAGAGAGACATGAAGATCAAGAGGGGGACTCTGGAGAGAGAGTGAGAGAGAGAGAAGGAGAGGGAGTCAGGTGGAGAGAGATGCGACTGATCTAAGTTTCACGCCGGTCTCTGGGGTTAAGTCCCGGTGCGTCGCTGACATCCTCTCACACGTGTTCGTCTGTTCTCAGATCTACGAGGAAATCCATAACGTGTCAGAGCGACCGACTTCAAGGGCAACTGCTGTCATCTCAACCTCCGCTGTCAGCACACAAACACACACACACACACACGCACACACACAAAGCTCAGACACACACACACACACACAAGAATTTAAATGCACATATTAAGCATTAGCAGACACGTACATTATACTGCTGTATGAGCATTTACACAAACTTGAGGATACACAAACACACTCAGATAAGACCGCACACAGATACATACAGTGAGTGGGAGATATAACGACCTGCTGCTTTAACATTTATTCTATAGTGATCAGTAAAATGACATAACAGTGTGACTAATCTTCCTGTATTTTTACTGGTAAATGAAATAACTACTGTTTTTTATGATCACTGGTTACCAAGTTAGCGTTTACTAGTCATGTCTCACTTTTAATAGTTACCTCTTTAAGAAGCATGAATATTTATGTACAGAAGCGTGTAGCCCTGAGCCCCCGGCCGGCATTCATACACAGTCCAGTCATAAACCAGGTTTATACCCAGTCTGTTTGGAAAAAAAAAGTCTCTAATTTCCACTTTTGCAGTCCAGCCAAAAATGCGTAAAAAAAAAAAAATCCAAATATGTAATTAAAAAAGTTGAGCGTCTCTTATCAGTGTTGGTCAAGCAAGTCTCAAGTCCTCTCCTCTGCCAGCAGGTCAAAGTTTTCACTTATTCAATGAAATATCTCAACATCTACACAATGGACTGAGCACGACCAGTTATGAGGGAATGTCTGCATACAGTAACTATAAAACTAGATTCAGGCATGTTTTTGCTGATTCCTAAACTTTTCATCTAAATTCCAAATTGTACTTCCAATCCAATATTTTGTTTTATGACTAAAAGTATTCAAATTTTCAGCTGTAATATTTGGGGATAAATGTAAAAACAGCACGCCATGGTGAGAGTAACACAATGTCATGTCACAGGTTTATCTACTTCTTTAGCATCACTTAAAAACAAGAATACAAACAGCATTTAACACAGAAACTAGACAAACACACACACACATATACAAAAAAACACACACATCCTGGGCAAGTAGCTGATTATGCAGAAATAATTCTTATAGCGAAGAATAAATCTATTGGTAGTTGTAAAGAAAAGCTGCTCATACAGGTTAATCATTACTGCCCTTAACACAGACACCACACACAAAGCACAAAGACCCACATCAGATATTTACCTTGTAATTCACCCACACAGTAAAACAACACTGAGGTAAGAAATATGTGCATGTGTGCGCCGCTTGTCTAGCTGAATGTTAAACACAGCAGTGAAGCTACGGCGTTCTCAGTTATCATAAGCACAGTGTTTATGAGTAACTGGAGAGCTCGGTCCAGGCTGTTAATCAGCAGTGAAGGAGAGAACAGGAGGAGAGAAAGAGTTAGAGAGGGAGAGAGAGTGGAGAAAATGAGCGGCACGAATATTCCACTAATGTTGAGTAGAAAGACTCTCTCAAATATATTTACCCGGCTGGTTTTACACACACACCAACACTGAGGAGATAGAAACCATCTCAACAGGTCATTTAGTCGCTTTGCTGAAGTTTAAAATGTCGTTTTCTCAAAGCAAGTGAAAAGCCCTGACCTCCTCTCTCTTAATGGGATGTAGTCAAGCAGAAGCAGCTGAGATTTTCACTTGTTTTAACAAATACTGGATTAAATGACTTGTTGAAATGGACTTTTTTTTTTTTTTTTTCAGTTTGCACCCTGACCTGGGTCAAATCTGAGTCCTGAATCCTTGAGGACAGTTCTCACACTTGATCGAACAAAAACAGGTTTTACAATCAAGCGCTGGCACATAAATGACCTCTTATTGCCTTCACCTGAGCTGTAACACTGGTGTTGATCTTTAGGGGAGACTGGGGACGGTTGCAACAAGTCTTGTTTCTCCGATCAGAAACACGCTAGAGTGATGACACTCACTGCACATGCTCAGTTAGACCCTCCTCCCACCAGTAAGACATCAGGCATATTCAACACCTTCTGCTGCATTTATTGAAAACTAGAACCCCCTCCTGGTGGTCGTCTGCCTCCTCCACTCAGACTAGTTTCAGGTCACATCCCTGTTTATCCAGAGTCAGAGAAAATATGAACCGTTTGTGTGAAATTTTGTCATAATTGAGTAATGGCTAAAAAGTGTTTTGTGAGGTCACTGTGACCTTGACCTTTGACCTTTGACCACTTAAATCTAATCACTTCATCCTTGAGTCCAAGAGAATATTTGTGCCAAATTTGACAAAGTTCCATCAAGGCGTTACTGAGAAAAGCAAAAGTTAATTAGTGAAATTTAATGTATTTTTTATATGTTGCAACCGTCCCTTGAGTTGGGGTCAGTTACATCTTCACTCTTCCATTCAAACAAATATTGTGAATGACATGTCAAATGTAATCATCTTTAAATGGGATGGGTAATTAGCAGATGGATGTAAGTTTAATATATAAAAGTTTGGTTAGTGTCTGAGTAACACAAAAAGTGTTGCAACAGTCCCAGTTTCTCCTACATCGACCGAGTATTACAAAATACTTAAATTGAGTATTTATAGTTCTGCCACCTAATATTAACAGATTGTATAATCTTGTACATATCTTGTATACATAGAGGAATACTGTAGCTCAGCTCAGTCACATAGATACTGAAGAGTCTGTGAGGATCACAGAGACAGTTTGTCCCAAGTCGTGGTGCCAGATTCACTTCAAGTAATTCATTGATTTTTGTTGTCAAATTAGGTCTCTGATCAACTTGTGCTTGTTCATTAAGATCGATAGCAGTTTCTCCCCAGATTCACTCAGTGTGCCGGTGCCCAATATCTTTAATGGCTTTGTATATTAATACTGAGCACACATCATCAATAATCTTGTCACATAACAGCAAAGTTGATCAAGGAACTCATTTGCCACAGAAGCAGCACATTTCTCTAGACACCGATATGAAGGAGGGAAGAGCAGGAAAAAAAAGGAAGAGGAAGAAGCCAGAACACAATTCTCTCACCAAGAAGAGGCTCCGTTTGAGGCTCCTTAAAGTGAGAGGGAGAAAACGCAACGCACAGGCAACAGCGTTAGCTGGGCCACCAATCAGAGACATCCAGCTGTGAGTATTAAAGGCCTTGTCTCCACAGCAGCATTTTGAATTCACTCAGCAGTTTGTAACTGAACCAAGATGCACCATAAAAACATCAGAAACATTTATCAGACGCCTCATTCCTCAGATTCTTAAATATTAAATGAACATAAAATAAATACAAACATCCAGACAAAACACATACAGACATTAACACATGACCCTGAAGAAGGTAGGTAATTATATACCTACATACAGAACATATATACTGTAGATGCTTTGATTTTGTGTTTGTTCCTGTTCAGACCCGGTATTAACATCCATCCTGAGCACCCAAGATGCATTGGGGACACTTTTGAGTTCTGATCACTCAGACCACATTCGGAGGCGGTCTGGGCCACATGTTGACACATTCTTTTAGCAGTGTGAGTGAAAATGCGTCCTGGACCACACTGAAGGACCAACTACTCAGCTGACGTCCTCTGTCACAGTCTGATTAGTCCCAACACAGCTTCATAATGAACGGAAACTATTTTACTTTTTCAAATGAACAAAACTTTATATCATTGTAAGAGCTGTGTGCAGCGCATTGATTCGCCATCTCGACAGTGCCTGACTCCGCCCCTACCTCTCGGCTAATCCAAAAATGGTCGAAGAGGAGGGGCGCATGTGGAGCAGAGACTTTGGTGCATGACAGTTTGGCAAGCATACACCCACCTGTCACTCAAAGAGGCCACACCCTCAATTCTCCATCACTTTAAGCCTTGATAAAATGTAAACAGGTGAGTTATATAAACAGGTGTCATGAAGGAGGAAATTAGCTCTAGAGACCAAAACTGTTTTTGTACCAGGCTGTAAACATGTTTATTTCTGCTGTAAAGTTGGACATTTTAACATGGGAGTCTATGGGGATTGACTCACTGTTGGAGCCAGAGCCTAGTGGTCATTAGAGGAACTGCAGGTTTTTGGTTCTTCAGTGTTGATGCTTCATTTTTCAGCCTCTGAAGTTGATGCTTGGTCAGTTCACAAGTGCTTTAAAATGCGTCTTGATTGACCACTTGAAATCGGATATCACTCCCCACTTTATATGCAAATAAACAAGTATGCGTTGTTGTTTTTAGCCAATCAGACAGATGGGTGAGAGAGAGAGACAAAGAGAGATAGAGAGACAGAGAGAGAGGCACGGAGGGGTTAAATGAATCAATGCACTACAATTAAATCATCTGAAACAGTAAAATATTTCCGGTTCATTATACACTTTGTTGGGACTAATCAGACTGTGACAGAGGACGTCAGTGGAGTAGTTGGTCCTTCAGTGTGGTCCAGGACGCATTCACATTCACACTGCTAAAAGAATGTGGCTTCATGTGGTCCAGACCACCTCTGAATGTGGTCTGAGTGATCAGAACTCAAAAGTGTCCAATAAAATTCACACCTGAACTTAGAGCTGACCACTGCTGATCAGATCACCTGAGGCAGAAGTTAATACCAGGTCTGAACAGGTCTGAACTGGGTCTATGGTACAAATCCAACTATTCATGTCTTTGCTGTGTAATTCCAGTGTGTGTCTTTAATATGATATCTATATCTAAATTAGAATTTAGGATGACACAGTGAATCAGCTGCAACACACAGTGACAGGGAAAAAGAGAGAACAGAGATAAACATAAGTAACATCAATGTGACATCACAGACAAATACAAAATATTCATCAGTCTAGATAAACTGTAGAGATAGAAAACACCATTTCTCTAAGATAAGTGAAATGTATGATATGAGACAGCTGGATTTTATCAGGGTCAGATACAGTCAGGCTGATTCTGATTAATAGAATCTGAAACATTTTATTCTCCATCTCCGAACGACTCATCTCTCTGTTTACAGTGAGAGATTCATCTGTCTGCAGTGGGTTTCTAATTGGTTCATAAATTCAATCAGTTTAAAAGATCATTTAGTGAAGATGCTGGTTGGGGAAGATGATGCTAACTGTCAGCTCAGCTCTTTCTAATGATGCAGTGAAGTAGTCAATCATCAGTTAGGGAAAACAATGCTCTCAGATTTGACTTAAATCCTATGAAGAATATTTAGCTTGTTTACATCAGTTTCAAATTATAGATGTCTAAAATAACCATATTTTTAATTACATCAAAATGCTAAATTAACTTTTTGATTAGATGAGACAGATTGATTTTTAATTCTAACAGGTTTTTTTTTTTTTATGAAACTCTCACTTCATTCTTGAATTGAACCACCATCCCTTGGAAGAGCAATCAATTCCTGAGCCTGGTGTTTAGGTGTTTGCTATGTGTGAGTCATCTGTTTGTAATGGCTTTTTAATTGGTCCATAAATTCAGTTGGTTAACAAATGCCCAACTGGGGATGCTTGATGGATGGTTGTGTTGACAGAAGGGTTAACTGTCACCTCCACTAAATCATCCAATCAGTCAGTTAAAGAGCCAGTATTGAGCAGGTGAGGAATTCAAAAAGCCAATTGGAAAACAATCAATGTTTTTTTATTAAGTTCCTGTCCACCAACACAGCCCCGCGAGAACCCTCATAACCCATTCATAATTGAAGGGTTTCATTCAAAAGTGACATTTCAAGTCTGAGTAATGACAGAACCTTGACAGGCTCAAATATATGGAGTCATAGGAGTGCCATAAAAAATAATGAATCTGTAAAAGAATGAGAAAAAAATGTGAAAATATATATTTCTCTTTATATTTCCACATTTAAAATTTACTTAGTTATTCCATTTTTTATTCCTCTTTATATTTCCATATTTATTTTCTTTTTTCTTTTTATTTTTCATTCTTTTACAGTTTTATTCCTTTTTAAGGCACTCCTATGACTCCATGCCAATGGCATTTAACACAAAATGACAGTTAATAAAAACATAGTGGTGCTAAACTAAGTTACAGGGTGCTTTATTTTCTAGAAAAAAAGTCAGTGGTAAAAAAAATTACTAATTTATTTAACAAAAATTGAAAAGAGCATTGTCATTTATTGACTAATCATCAAGCGCAAAAATATTTTGGTGGCAAAATCCTTTAATTGTCTGCAGGAACACCGCCTGCTGCAGGGCTTGAGAATGCAACTTGTGCTTCATTAAAAACGACAAATGTGGCATTTTAGACAATAAAAATGTTCAGCTCATTGACAGCAGGTCTAGTGCAGCACATAACTGCAATAATATTTCAAATGTGGATACAAGCAGTATGTTTCTCCCTCTGGCACCATTATTTTGAAAAATCCCATTAGGCACTTTTCAAAATTTAAAGGTGGCCGTATTTTACCACAGAGTTTTACCCACAGGACAGATTTCAATGATTTTGCAATTTAATCCTATGTTTAAGACTATGAGGATGTCACAACTCTTAAATTTCCTCAGAGCTTTATTTGTGCAATTTCTAACATGTAATGTGAAAAATTCTGCATAAAACACAATGTATTTGCAAACCATTTATTATAAATGATGTATCAACTTGTTCACTTGTCTTGACATTAGCTCAGTAGGCTAATTCACTAGCTTTTTGGTGAGTATAATTTTTTTTTGCAAATAATATTTTTGGGGAATTATACTTTCATTTCATTTTTTATAGTGTACTAAATTTAATCTTCTAAATTGTTAAAATGTTTGATTTGAGAAAATATTGGATGAACTTATTGCAAAAATAATATTTCCTTGACCAAAATGGTGGCCATCTTGAATTTTCGAGTGGCTAACGTGTTTTACCAAAAGAGCAATACCCAAGGCGGATTTGTGCCAAGTTTGCATTTGTATCCACATTTGAAAGATTTCCCTGAAATATACAGTTATCTGCTGTGCTATCCTAATAATGACAAGTTCACAAACAAGAAGTGACAGATATCCTGGAGTCGGTGGAAGGAGAATGTTCGACAGTAAAAGAAAAAAAAAAAAGACCCACAGAGAAAATACAAGAAGTATCATGTTTGCCCTCAGTCGTGTTGATGTCTAAAATCTGGCTGTAACCATGTGAGCTGGGTCCAACACAGTAGGGGAGGAAGTCGACCAGCTGACCATCCTGACTCCCACAGCAGGAGCAGAACCCTCCTCTAGCTTTTCTCAGCCAACACACAAACACAAACACAGACAGACGGACAGACACACACACACACACACACACACACACCTCTTTACCAATGACAAACACTAGCTTTTCCTACTAGCCCACCGCTCCACCAGAGTCAGGTCTTATTCCCAACAACGTCCCTCACTCACAGAGCGAAAATGCAGAGTGACGGTAAAAAGCATCAGGTGGGTGTTACCTGTCTGAAAGCCTCGCCATCTCCCTTCCCAGCCTGCTGAGCAATGAGCATCAGCTTCTTGTTCTTTTCGTTCCTCTTGTGCACCTTATAGATGCAGGACAGCAAACACACCAGCAGCATGAAGGCGATCAGGCCCAGCATGGAGAGGACAGCCACTGTCAGGGGAGGCAGTTTATAGGCTGGACAAGGACCAAGAGACAAACAAGCACAAGTCATAAGCCTTCTGTAACTGCTGAGGAGGACCTGCATTATGAATATACTGACTGTCTAACTTGCTCTCTTTTTAAAACTAAATCTTGTTTTAACTCTACAACCCCTACAGGTCCACATAACTGAAGCCTGGTGTATAAACAGATAAAGAATTAAAATATAATACAACACAACTGTAACAACTTCATAGAAGAAACATTAATTACCACTTGCCTGGCAGGCTGTTTACAGGTCCTGTAAATATATTTGAATTAAGCAAAAAATAACGTAAAGAAGAAAAAAAGTGATGAACCTGGCAGAACGCACTTGTTGTTCAATTTCCAATTGTGACTGCGAAGTTAAAAGCATTAAACAACAAGTTCGTCCCAGCCAGGTTCATTACCTGTTACTGTCCCCTGGAAACACTCCCGTTGTGTTGTATTTGCAGCTCATGTGGTGTCAAACTGATGAAGATGTTTTCTGAATTAGTTTGGTTTTGTTTTAAAATGTGCGTCTGATCTGTGTCTGCTGACACTCACGATCTCATTTGTTTGCCTTTATGCTATTGGTGTAAACCCTTTGAATAAACACTATCTACACTTCATTACATGAGAAATCACAGTTTATGCTTGTTCGGTAGAAAATAGTGTTTAGTTTGTTACCCTGTTAGCTCCTAGATTAGAAGTAATACATCGTCTTGATCATTTAAACGTGTCATCTCTCTTACCCTCCACCTCTATGTAGACATGAGCCACAGGAAACCCAGCCAGGTCTGTCAACTTGAAGACACCCGTGTCGGCCACGCGGACCTTCTTCATGATGAGCTCCGACCCCTCCACGGTCAGCCTGCCCTCCAGCTGAGGGTCTAGCGGCGTCACCAGAACCCCCTGGTCCAGGATGACCCGGTCCTGATTGTCTGATTTGGGCCTGTAGACGATGTTGAGGTTGGACTGGTGCAGGTAGAGTTTCATCTTCAGGTTTCCTCCATAGGAGAGGTGCATGAAGTTCTGGTGTTCTGTGGAGGAGGAATGCAAACACAAGTACAGAATATATGATGCTTTTATTATTGATTGATTGATTTATTGCTGAACAAACATGATAATCAGAAAGTGACATAAAATACATAGTGACAAAGAACAGTGACAGTTGATGTGAGATAAAATGAGGTTTAGTGGTCAAGGTTTAATTATGTTGAGTGTTTTTGTGGGTTGTGTGTGTGTGTGTGTGTGTGTGTGTGCGCGCGTGTGTGTGTGTGTGTGTGTGTGTGTGTGTGTAGTGGGATGTTCAAATGAGAGTCTATATAAAATATATAAATAAGTAAACAAACAACAACAATAATAATATATTAAAAATTAAAAAAATTAAATGTATTGATTTAATGCATTTTATTTTTTGCTGTCTTTGCCAAGCACTTTTTTACATAGTTTTTGAAAAGTTTTAAAGTTTTTTTCAAGTATATACACGGACAGTATCACAATAATAATCAATAACACAATAATAATAATAATAATAATAATAATAATAATAATAATGTAATAATATATCATAAGAATAATCATGATGATAATTATTTTATTTATGTAATGAAGATTGGGGAGGGGGGCCCCAGCCTGACCACCCAGTGCCACAATCAGGGGCCCATGCAGCAGACAGTCGGGTGCATTTAGACACATTTCCTGGGGTTTACCCTTTTGGAAGTCTGATTTCTCTGCCCGGCAAATGAGTGAACACTGAACAACTAACAGCTAATGATGCTAGCTGTTCACTACTAGCCATAACAGCATGAACAGCTGATTATAAGCACACACTCTGTAGATCTGATAACATGGAGCCCATGATGTACATCTTCATCGCTCGGAAAATACACTGTTAGTTTGTAGATTTACATGATACAAGTTTTAGCCATGATGGCTGGAGCAATAATTGTTCAGTTGGTCCATGATTTTTGGTCCAGACTGAAATATTTCAACTAAAAAAATTATAATAGTAATGGTCACTATCTGAATCTTAAGGACTTTGGTTACCACCTGACCTCTAGTAACCCCAGCTGGATGGCAGTTATGGTTTTGAATTTAATTTATATTCATATTTAAGCCATATCTCCGTCTTCAGATATAATATTCTACTCTATAACCTTCATTAAAGTCTATGTATTCTTGATGTATTTTTATCTACATTCTGTGGCACCTTCGTGTCCCTGCCGGCAGGTTTAACCTCATTTTACATACATTAAATAAAGACTTATGACCTCTACTGAGATTAAGGCATTAAATATTTCTACATTCAAGAATGAGATAAAGTAGACAGTGACTCTAGGCCTAGATGAAATTTTGCAATGTGAGAAACAAAAAAAACAAGCACTGCATTTTGATGACAAAGTAAAACAAGTAACACATACTCAAATGATATTGACTGATCAGTCATTGATCAGTCCGATCACTCCCTACCTCTGACATTCAGGCAGTTCCTCCTCCTGACTTTACCCTCACGGTCCAGCACTGTGAAGCTCCCCTCATCCGTCATCCTGACCGAGTGCAACGTCACCCGTTTCTCCGACACACTGAGGCGTCCCACGTATTCTTCCGCCGTCAACCCCGTCTGATTGTACAGCACCCTGGGCGGAGGCTCTGTAGTTTGCTGCATCTCTGTTTGATTGGCCTGAACCAGACTGGGCCTTGAGATGAGAACAGATGTTACCCAAACTAACACATCAGCAATCAGTGTAAATCCTGCTCAAACCAATCAGTAATGTCACAGCAACTGTTGTGAACACCTGTTGTGACTTCACTGATTAGAGTGTGGACAGAGGTTTGACCCAACAGTTAAACCCAGATAGCAAAATACGTCCGGCCCAAACATGGGCCACATGCTTGATTTCTTCTGGCCCAGTACTCGCCTGGTTCTGGGGCCCGAATCTCGGACGCTACTTCCAGATCTGGACCAATTCTGGTGCACACACAGAAAATGTTAACAGCCGGAATCTGCCCAGATGTGGAAGAATATGGGCCAGACTTGGGGCGAGGACCCAGGCATGTGTTGGGCCAGAAATTTCATTTTGCTGTTTGGGAAGCATCTTTTTTAGTTCATTCAACAAAGACTGTACAGATTACCATTGTTACATAACAACATACAATGCAACAGATTTAATGCATATACGTCTGACTAATGCTAGCATTAGCAAGCACCACCTTTTAAATATAGGTCAAAACAGCTAAATATTCTGTAATCAACATGAAAAACCCAAACACCGAAAAAGTCTATGCAAAATTGAGAAAGATGATTTCCACAAAGGTATTTCAATTCCTGATTTCCATTTATAATCACATCAAGAAAAAACAGATAACAGTTTGTTTTGTTGTTTTCCGTTTTTTACTATCAAAACAAAAAATGGTAAACAGGTTGCTTTCCCTTTTTTTTTTCTAAATGGTAAATGATTTTGGTTTGCTCATTTCAAAACAAAAATTTGTTGGCCGCTAAGTACACAGACCCATGTTGATTACAGGTTACTGAATCTTTTTTCTTTCTGTGCTGCTTTCACTGACCATACCTGAACTCCAGAGTGATGGGGCCATCAACTTGGTTCAAGTGGATGTAGTAGCTTTCTCCATACTTCACCACTTGCTCCACAGCGCAGTCTGATCAACAGGACAAGAGGAAATGAAGGTAAAATCAGGAATTATGAGTTGAAAATCATTGTGTGCAAAATAAACTCTGTTGTTGAGAAGAGTATCAATGATGAGAGAGTCTTATCGTTGCTTGTACGATTCCTAAACGTTAAAATCGTCAGGAGCTATCTGTAAGTTTTGCTATTGCTACAAAGCTAACGTTACCATTAGAAGTTGTGTACTTACCAGTCTAGAACAAATGCTGCGCTCCGGAGCTGTCTCCAGTGGTAGAAAGCAACTCTCTTGTTTTGCCTCTATGTCTATCACTTCCTTTCTTCTACTGAAGTTAGCATGCTAACTAGCTAGAACCAGCCTGTCTTGTCACTTTCCGATAATGAGTGACTGAACGGTCCAGTCTGAAGACGTAGCTGCTCAGAGGAAGTATTATAACCTCTTGTCTTGTAAACACAACAATGGCTGAAGCTCTTGCCAAGACTGGTAAGTAAACAACTGTCAATGCTAATGTTAGCTTTGTAGCAATAGCAAAACTTACACATAGCTTGTTTAACAGAATCTTCTGTTTTATCTATCTAGTCTAAACTCTGGTTTAAATCATGTCACAAATGACTAAATGTTTTTATGAAAATATTACACATTATTTTATTATTATTGTAGACCTATGTGTGTCCTAAATCCTCTGAATGCACC